TATACACTTTTTAATGTTATATTTTGTAATATTGGTGTTGTTTTATTTTTATACTACAATTTTTTTAGGAGATATTTTGAGGAGACACTGCCTCCCTTGCCTAAATGGATGAAACACTCCCAATTTGAACACAGTTCATACAAGATTTCAAACAGATTTATAAACCAGATTGCAAACTGGGTTTATACCAAATTTCAAACCCAGTTTCAAATGAGATTTTAAACAGGTTTCAAACTAGATTTTAAAGTGGATTTGAAAATGGTTCATACGAGATTTCAAATAGCTTTTTAAACCAGATTTCATACAGGTTTCATACCAAATTTCATATTGCTTCCAAATTATATTTCAAACAGGTCAATAACTGGATTCGTACACAGTTAATATGAAATTTCAAACAGGTTTCAAAACGGGTTTAAATGGGGTTTATATCAAATTTCAAATTCTCCAAACGGTGTTTAAAACCAGAAAAAAAAAAAAAAAAAAAAAGCTTCTTCTGCTATGGAAAAATAAAGGAAAACGAAAGAAAGAAAAAACAAAGAAAAAAGATTAGAAGAACTGTTTAACGTGTAGGGAGCAGCAAGCCAAACTAAAACACACTTTCACAAGTGCTATGAAGTATTTTGGAAATATGGCATAATAATGGAACAATCTCTGAGCAGGAATTTCCATTTAATGAACCACAGGTGGAAGCTCAACACTAAAATAATGGATTAAAAGGTACTCATTTTTGGGTGACAAAGTTGTATCCCTCGTTTACAGACATGTAGTTTCCTTCTGTGGTCCCTTTCCCAAGCCCTCACACACACACACTCAGCAATACACAAAAATTACACACCACACAAATGCTGATCTGGCCAAAGCACGGATCCTAGGATATGGATTTGTCTTAAAACAGCTCCTTTCTCTATGTAACTGATCTCTGGATAAAATACTGCATGCAGGGTCAACAAAGCAGTACCTGAGTTTGACCCTTAGATGGCGTTGTGTCATAGCTTGATATTGCATGCTGGAATTAGTGAAACAACTGGAGTCCAGATTAGTTTAAATTGCATGAGAAGTTCCTGTTAATTAGGGGTGGGATGGGACTGGGGACAAAAATAAATAAATAATGTCACTTCCATACTTTTCATACTTCATCTGCGCTGTTATTTAAACTTTATGGATCACTGATCATGTAAAATGTTGATGAAAGAGCCATCACTTAAAAACAGTTGGTAAAAATATGAACCTGCATGCGCTCCATGATGTGTTCATATTTGTATATAGCTGTAATATGTGTATGTCAGTCTTGTCCTGTGTTTAAATTATATTTTGCACTGAATGTACCAGAGATGTGAGTGCTTGTCTGGTCTCTTTTGGTGTTTGTCTTTGTGGTTTGTGAGTCTATTTAATTTGTTTGAAATTGTACTTTTCCCGCTGACACTGTACTGGCAGATTTGAAAAGTGTTAGAGCCATGATTTACATTTGATCTTTCTGCTTGGCCAATCAAACTGCACATGTCAGTTTATTCATTGAGTTTGCCTTTCCATGTTCCAAAGTCCAGTGCTTCAGTTGTCTACTGTAGGGACAAGAAAAGCCCAAAGATCCAGACCTGCAAAGTTCCAGCCCATTTCACACTTGATGGTATTAAAAGGTGTAAAACAGAGCAGGCATTGAACACTCAAAAACAAAAACCTGCATACTATACAGATCAAAATTAGAGAACTTTTTTTTTCTGAAATATTGGTAATCTTCATCACTCAAAATTTGAAGGAATGCTGTTTGTATGCCACTGTTCTGCTAACATGTTTTACAAAATAACCAGAGAATTTTAACAAAAAAACATTATTTTGTGGAAAACACAGTGATCATAATTAGAGAACAGTAACCACTGTAGCATGAAAGAAGATTACAACAAACATTTTGGAGGGTTACAGCTGCCAGAAATTAGTAGGAGAGCGGTGTAGATGCCTTTGCTTTGAATGACTTCAGCATATCTGCGTGATGTGTCCCTAGTTTCTCACACTGCACTGGTATGATCTTGGTCCACGCTTCTTCCAGTCTCTTCCATAGTTTGGTAACTATAGTGGGTTTCTTGGCCATAACTTTGTCGCCAAGAATTTTTCAGAGATTTTCAATCTGGTTTAGATCAGGACTCGGCCATCCTTTTCATTATGTCAGTGTCCTTAGCTTCAAGGAACTGCTTTATCTGTTTATCCGTGTGACAGGGGCATTGTCTTGCATGAAAATTGCAGGCTGATTGGGAGATGCTAGCAGTGAAGGAACTGCATGTTGCTGAATGAGGTTCTGATCAATATTTTCATTCACCCTGCCATGTAGCTGTATAAGAGGCCCAACTCCTGCTGCAGAAAAAAACATGACACTTCCTCCTCCACCTTTTACGGACTTCTTTATGCACTTAGGGTTCAGTCTTTCCCCATTTTGATGCCAAACAAAATGTTTCCCATCAGACCCAAATAAATTTAAATTAAATTAAAAATAAAACTTGCTCTCATCACTAAAGTGAACTTTGGACCAGTTCTTGTCTCTCCACACAACATGCTCCTCAGCAAAGGTGAGCCTAGCCTTTTGATTCTTTCTGCTGATGAGAGGCTTGTTCACTGCACTTTCAGACTGTCTTCTCTTAAACATGCAGAGACAGATCCTTACCCTGTTCAGCACTGAACTGGCAAGCAATTCCAGCTGCAGTGTTGAACCAATTCCCCATTGAGAGTCTCTGCATTATCCTGTCTTCTCGTGCATTTGCATCCTGTCTTACATGCTTACATACTTGCCTTTTTGGGAGACTTGATCTATCTATCTATCTATCTATCTATCTATCTATCTATCTATCTATCTATCTATCTATCTATCTATCTATCTA